CAAAAATAAATATATTTTTATATTTTTAATCTACATTTATAAGGCAAAATTTTTTCAGCATATTGATATTTTTTTATTTTTATTTATACTAATAGTTGTTGTTTAATAAGTAGTATACCGTTACTGTCCCGCCTTGCTGGGTGTCCCGCCTTGGTGGTGCCGACCTGGCTGCGCCAGGTCGGGATTTTTTACAAATTAAATTCAAGGTAACCGACGATTACCCTCGGCCCAGGCATTGGTTTGACCGTTTTTTTTTTTTTCTTAAAAAAAATTCTGCACCTTTGATTAGCTCCTGATGATGTCTTCGACGACACCGAACCCCAAGGAATGGACGAAGACTGTCAATTGTCGAGACGGCCTTACGGAAACCACAATGGGATATGAAAAATTCACCGATGATAAAAAATCTATGGATCTTTAGAAAGCTTGTTCGCAAATCAATGTTGACCCCTACATCTCAGATCAACCATGTGAAATTTGTCTAGATATCCGTTCGGAAGCAAGATCATAGCAAACGCCATGGCAGTATCTCATCGAGTCTCCCTTTAAACACCCCCCGCACCCAAATGACGAAAGTATTCTCAAAACAGATCAGTCATTGCCCCATGAGAAGCATCACCTACGAGCTTCTGATACTTCGCAAGTACTCCACGATTTACTTGACTCTTGGGGGGCTTCCATGCCTTCAAGCGTTCTGCGACCTCTGCGTCACTGACGTCCATACTGAGGGTGTTTGTCTCCGCTGAGATGGTGACAATGTCGCCATCCTGGACGACTGCGATGGGGCCTCCAACTATCAAATAATTAGCAACATACCCTCTCTTACAAAAGACTGAACATAGAGAGCTTACCTGCAGCTTCAGGCACGATATGTCCCACGATAAAGCCATGGCTGGCACCAGAGTATCGTCCATCAGTAATCAACGCCACATTCGTAAGTCCGGCACCCATGATCGCCGCAGAAGCCTTCAACTGCTCCGGCATACCAGGTCCTCCCTTTGGACCCTCATATCTCACAATCAGGACCAAGTTTTCACCCCGCGGGATTTTGCCTTGGAAGAGGGCTGCATCAAGCTCATGTTCCTTGTTGAACACCATGGCCTTACCGATAAACACCAGTCCCTCTTTGCCTGTAATCTTCGCGACAGCGCCACCCGGTGCAAGGTTTCCACGCAGGATCTGGAGATGTCCGCTCGACTTAATTGGATTGGAGATGGGTCGGATGATTACTTGATCTTGTCGTAGAGAGGGGAAAGGTTCGATGTTTTCGGCGAGAGTCTTACCGGTGACGGTGAGAATGTTGCCGTTCATGAGGCCTGCTGCGACTAGGAGCTTTAACACCGAAGGGGTACCGCCGATGTTGTAGAGGTCCTCCATGAAGTATTTTCCACTGGGAGCTAGATCTGCCAAGAATGGAATCTTGTCGCTGACTCTTTGGACGTCATCTAGTGTCAGGGGTACTTCAGCTGTGCCAGCCATGGCGAGGAAGTGAAGGACACCATTTGTCGAGCCCCTTCAAGACAGTTAATTGAGCCAATTTGCAGGAGACAGAGCTTCACTAACCCTAAAGCCATCGTCATGACTAGAGCATTTTCGAACGACTCTTTAGTCATCAGATCCCGAGCCCGGATATTCTTCTCCATACAGATCTTAATGGCTTCAGCTGCTTTGACACATTCTCGCATCTTGGCTGGCGACTCTGCTGGGTTGGAGGACGATCCTGGGAGGCAAAGACCCATAGCTTCAATGGCTGTCGACATCGTGTTGGCTGTGTACATTCCTCCGCATGCTCCTACACCTGGACAAGCGTGTTGTTCGAGGTCGTCCATGACATCGCTTGGCGTACAGCCCTTTTCGCCAGGATTCTCGGCAGCCTTAAGTCTACCGTACACAAAAGCTCCAGAGGCTTCGTAACACTGGCTGGATATGAATATCTGGTCTCCCTGTCTTTCAGTGTGGTACTTACTGTACTGATGTTGACAGTCTTGTTCAGAAGCTTGGAGAAGCCTTTCTTCATAGTTCCTCCGTAAATCATTACGAACGGTCTGCGTAGGCCGGGATCAGCGAAGAAGATCAAACGACGTGATGGGACTTACCGATTGTATCTGGCAGCAGCCATCACGACTCCAGGCATATTCTTGTCACATCCCGGGATCGAGATATTAGCGTCATGATGTTGAGCACACTGAACAGAGAGAGTCAGTGGGTTTCGAAGATGTAGAAGGAAGTATAAAACCGTGGGTCAGGACGGTTTGTACTTACAGTAAGAGTCTCAATCGAATCTGCAATAATCTCTCGTGTTAGGAGCGAGAATCGCATGCCTGGATCAGCATCAGCATCACACCTCTTGCCTCCACCTGGCCCACTCACCCTCTCCACCCATTGTGATACCATCCGAAACGCCGACTGTATTGAACTGCCACCCAAGCATGCCTTGTTTTTGAACCGCGTCCTTCACTATCTTTCCGAGGTTGTTCACTAGGAAGAGAGGGTCAATGGGAGTTGGAATAATTGATCGATATTTCGCCGCTTACAGTGGGTGCTACTCCATATCAGTACTGAAATGACTCTTGGACCATTCCAATTGACTTACTTGCAAGGGTTACCTTCCCACCATACCGATGCAATTCTGCCAGTGTCAGTTGCTATGTCCTGCCAGGCCAATTGACTTTTCAAGACCTACCCGACGTGTGGGGCAGTCTTCATCATGTCTCGATTTGGCACACCGGCCGCATACAACATTGCTTGGGCTCCGGGGAAGTTATGGTCTTGTACATGTCCGTCAGCTTCTCGCATGGAATGGAATTGCCAGTTAGCCAGGAGAGGTACCTCTTGTAAGGGTAGACGACCATCTGTTCAAGGCTTGCTTGCCATCGATAACTGTACCTGGCTCCAGGTGAGGGAAGCCAATGTATTGCGGCTTCTCTGGGCCTGTGCCACTACCGTTGGTCGACATGATGGATTACTCCCTGAGGTGTTGTGGGTGGGGGATGAGGTAAGGTGAGGTAAGGTGAGGTAAGGTGAGATCAGGTAAGGTAAGGTCAGGTAAGGTAAGGTATAATCGAGGAAGAGTGTTGAAGGTGAGGATGATGATAAGGGAAGTGGGTGAGGTAGGTAGGTAGGTAGGTAGGTAGATAGGTAGGTAGGTAGTTAGGTAGGTGTAAGCAGGTAGGGAGCTAAGAACATCTGAGGAGGAAACTACTTAAGTAGTCGGGAATTGAGTGCGGTGCGGTGCGGTGCGGTGAAAGAGGAAGGAACGGAATTGAGCGGTGAATGACGAAGGGCAGGAACAGGACTGAGTGAAGGACGAGGAAGGAACGGGGACCGCGTAGGATGAAGAGGAAAGGAAGAAGGTGAGCGAGTGAGAGAACAATCAGATGGATGGAGACCTAGGTAAGAGAGAGTAGAGAGAGAGTAGAGAGAGGGAGAGAGAGAGAGGGAGAGAGAGAGAGAGAAGCAACGAGAAGTCGAATATGCGGTCTACCGACTCTCACTTTTTTTTCATCCCCAATTCCCTACCATCGACTGGCCATGCTTGAATACCTATTCCAGTGCGTGGGCGTGCTTGCCCCACTCCCTACGGAAGACAAACCCTTGATCTGCCTTTGGTTGTTCTCGTCTCATGCATACGGACGGTCGTCGCATCAGCATCGGCGTCGGGGTCGGCGTCGCGGTGCCAATGGCGTGGTGAGGATAAGGTACAGTCAGTACTAAGAAAAGGCAGTAAGGTAAAAGTACCTGGCCCGGCCGTTCGGGTTCACTACCGTGTACTTCCTCACCGCAGCGAGCACGGACAGGAAGACCCGAGAGCGACTTCTCCAACGTACTACGTCGCAGGCGTAAGTATTACCCCTCGAGGGTACGGAAAACAGGGGTTTTAAAGTGGAAACTAGACTTTTGAGGCACCCTCGAGGGGTAATACTTAGGCCTGTACCGTGGTACTTCTGCATTGGGTTCAGGTAGATACTTCCAAAAAAAAAAAATTCAATTTGACCTTATCAACCTTATATCTCAATATGATCACCGCTATCATGCACAGCATAGTCTTAGGAAGGGATGACTGGCTGATTGGCTGGCTGGCTGGACCCCCAGACGTCGGCATTTGACGGGTTCCCCGGTCTCCGGTAAGTACTACAACTATCTCTCAGCCTTAAGGCTCGTTCGGTCTCCGAGTGAACGAACGTCAGGCTGAAAGAAGGTCCTGATAAACAACAGCTTCGTTTCTTCTCTCACCTTGGAGGCTCGCTTCCCAGGCGCCTGGCATCGACATCCACCCAGCATCCAGGCGGCTCTGCGGTCCGTCGTCGGTGCCCGACTTGCGCCCGAATCACTCTCACGACATGACGCACACTCAATGCTCGCCGGTTCGATTGGTTCGAGCCTCCCCAGCCGCCTTTGACTTACTCACCACCACCACCACCACCACCACCACCACCACAACCACCCGAGAATACCCCCAACCCTTACCCCCAACAATTCCCTGATAGGAGCCGCTACGACCCAGAGATACTCCCTAGCCAGGCCACGTTGCTTTCAGGTGCGATATCGGTGTTCGAAAACAAGCTCTCGGGGCACCAAGGTAGCGCCGCGCCCGAATCGAGAGCTTCCCCGGAATACGCTTCATTGTGGTACGAAGACGAGGGCGGGCAGGAAAGGGGATTGGTGCCTCCAGGCATCAAAGCATGATAATGGCCCCCTGGGTCCTACCTTTATCATGTCTATTCTCGCTGCTCTTCTGCGTCGCTGACGCTACTTCGAACAATCTATCTAGAGCCTTATCGTTCCCCATACTCTCCAGCTTCCAGCAATTTTATCCGCAGATATCGAAAGAGAGCATAAGTGCTTGGGAAATGGCTCAGGTTATCACACTGTGTTCTGTATTGCCGAGCCTGTGGTGGCTTCGAAGGAGGCGCAAGGCTTCCATCATCACTGAGTTGTCGCAAGACGATATAAAGAACGAAACAGGTGTTGTGGATACCAATGGTAAGCCATATCTCCACAGTGACTGGAGGAGTTTCACTGATAATCGGTAGATGCTATGACCACGGATCCAGGGCTTCTCAAGAAGCACTCCCAAATCAGATCCTACACCACGAGCCGATTCACCTACCCCAAGCTCCGCATATTCTATCATAAGCACCCACAAGCTGGCAAGCTCCCTAACGAATCAGCACCACTGCCCCTTCTTGTCTGCATACACGGCCTGGGAGGTTCCGTTGCACAATTTCATCCACTTTTGACCAGTCTCGTCAACCTAGCACCGTGCCTTGCTATAGATCTTCCGGGGTGCGGCCAATCTGGGTTTGACCCCATAGCATGGAGTGCGTACAGGACAGAAGCCTTGACTGAACTGCTGGAGGTCATCATTGATGACTACAGAGAAAAGAACCAAGGGGTGGTTCTCATCGGTCACAGCATGGGAGCTTCCTTGGCCGCTATGCTAGCTTCTCAGGCTACTAATACACATCCCAACACTCTATCAGAGTATATTGTTGGCATGGTAGGAATCTGTCCGAAGGCCGAACCCCCCACGGAAGAACAAGTAGCAGTTTTCAGGAAGCTCCTCTGGGTGCCAGGTCCCTTATTCAACCTCTGGCGCAAATGGGATCGTCGAGGAGGAGCCGAAAGTGTCAGTGTCTACAGATTTGTTGGGGCCGATGCCGACGAAGATACCAAGCGACTTCAGTATCGATTCAATGCGCAAAGCAGGACCCCAGTCTGGAGGCGCATGGCGAGCGGCACACTACCAGTATACGAGAACGGTGTAGCGGATGGGGGATTGCCTGGCAGAGACACATGGGCTGGTCTTGAAGTGCCAGTGTTACTAGTGGCAGGAGAAGCCGATCACATCACGAAGTCTAGCGAGATCGACAAAATTGCCTCATTTATGGGGAAATCTCACCCCGTTCAGGTTGAGGTCGATGCAGATATCCAACCAGTTGTTGAGTCGGCATCCTCCGCAGATGCGGGAACGGGGAAACGAGATGAAGTTGAAGAAAAACTTGATTCTTTGCAAGAAGAGAATTTTGTTGAAATCGGCCCGAGCACAAGCGAAGATGCCCACGAGGATCCTTCAACCCCCACAGATGGGTTATCAGTGATTCCTCCCCAATCCTCGAAGCCGAAAAGGGTTCTCAAAACCACGATTCTACCAGCACCAGCATCGCACGCGCTTTTGTACCAACCAGCCACAGTGAGAATTCTGGCGGGACTTGTTTCGGATTTTCTTTCCAGTCAAGTTTCGCCTCGTCTCTCACTTGGCTGGCAGCTGCAGTTCTTGTCCACTTCTGGGAAATGGGACGTCAAGAATCTAGAGAAGTGGAAGAAGGTTGCTCCTGTCTCTGAGCCCATTGCCGGTATATTCCGGGCGATGAAGACTTTGCGGGAGGTCGATGAAACCCACTGCCCCGAAATCTTTGTGAAAGATTGGGGATCTCAAATCAAAGATATTGTAGACATCTCACATGAGAGCCCAGTCTACGATCCTCGAGGCCTTGAGAAGGGGGGCATCTACTACCATAAGTTTCCCACAGTATCAAAGGTACGCACCGTATATTTGCCATACCTTCTAGCATGCCAACTAACTCGTTGATTTAGATTCCTCCGACTGACGAGGAAGTCGCAGCTTTTATCATAGTTATCGATCGCTTACGCGAGGAACAGACAGCCAGAGCAGAAAAGGAAGGCTGGACAGAAGACCATTACATTGGCGTCCACTGCCACTACGGCTTCAACCGTACAGGCTACTTCCTCGTCTGTTATCTTGTTGAGCGGCTGGGCTATGATGTCCAAGCGGCCATTGACGAGTTCGCATGCCAGCGGCCGAAGGGCATCAAGCACGTCCACTTCAGGGATCGCTTGTTCTTGAAATTCTGCCGCGGGCTGAAAAGAGCTCCTACGCTTTGAAGAAAAGCCTGGATGTTATTGTAGAAATAGGACGGCGTTCTAGCAGACTTGGGCGCACGACTCTGGTAGAAAGCTGGGTTAACGGGTATCTCAGCACAGCCAAGTGACATTGCTTTTGACACTGATTAGGGGACAGTTGTTGCTTCGACATTGGATATGTAATTTTTTCGGTGGTGTCTCCGGAGTCATGGCCTAGAGAAGGTGATGTTGGGACGATTTTAATAAATCCTGTTCAGTAACGGCCGAATCCCACCAGACACCTACGGCCCCCAAGTTTGGGATCGTCATCACTACTAGTTCTATTTATATATTCAAACTTTCGCTACGTATTAGTTTAAACTATCGGCATTTCCGTATTTTTACTTTTAGAGTTTACGCTTACCACACAGGCAACCAATTGCAGCACCATTCTTTGTCCAAAATCTTAATAAGCTTTTGATAAGCTTCTGGAACCATCCTTCGCATCTTGCATTGGAATTCCCGGACCATCCTTCGGATCTGGCATTCGAATTCCCGGAATTCCGAATTCATGCATACATGCCCTTGACATCTTTCTCCTACAACTAACTCCGACGTTCCGTACATTCTTGGACTCGCTACTAAGAATTAAGTAAGGTCGTCCAATCAAAAGGCCATGTCCAAGCTATACAGATAGGTAGTGCCTCGCAGCCTCGTGCTAGCCACCTCCGTACCTAGGTAGTGCCGCCGCCGGCGACCCGGCGACCCGGCGACCCGGCGTACCTCAAACCCTTGTTGACAGGTAATCTAGCCAGCCCCATTATCCAAACCACAAGTCGATATAACGGTTGACTCCTCGAGTCCTCTGTTCCCGAGGGAACCGTGATCCGACCTGACACGAGGCATCGTCGACTCCTCAGCCCGTACGGAAAAGGAAACCACACCGCAAGATCGCCACGTGCTGCCACCGTCATGGTCGTCGTCGTCAAAGCCAACGACTCTGGCGCTGGATTGCAGGTTGACAGTGACGTCCCCGGCCGGGAATCCCGGAACGATACGCAAATTCGAGGGACGGATGTGAGGCAGGAGGCCTCTTCCGCGAGTGGTGATGGAAAGGCTTTTGGTCCTCAAGGGTCAAAGCGCGAGAACGTGATGAAGACGACGGGGTGGGGTGCGAAAATTGGGGATGGGGTGAAGGGGGGAGAGGATGAGAAGGAAGAGAAGAGGAGAGGGGAAGAGGGAGAGAAAGGGAAAGGGATAGAGGAAGAGAGGAAAACGTCGAAGTTCAAAGGGTTGTCGGCAAAGCTGGGATTAGATGTGGGTACGGTGTTGATGATGTTTAAGTGAGTGTTCTAATCACCGGAAGTGCGTTATGGTGGTGAGGACTTGGAGTGTTGACGAGAATTAATTTAGGGGCTCGGTTGCGCCTACTATCGGTGAGTTGATACATGTCACCGCATTCGACATGATGATTTCCGGCTAGAATCTCTTGGTGTATTGACGGGAGCCTAATCGAAGCTGGCAGGTATCGCGATCTACCAAGCGGATTCAGTAGCGAGGCTCTTCAATACGCTGGGGTATCTGATTCCTATCCTCACGGTTCTGAGTATGCCTATCATGCCACGGGCCAAGTACCTGCAAACGCTGATACTGAATACCTTCGGTGTCTGTATCGGGGCTGTAAGTTCGTTTGCTTCCATGTTCTAGGCTTTTGGCTGACGTTACAAGGCGATTGCGCTGTTGGGCATCTGGTCTGGTGTGAAGGCGCGGGAAAACACCACTCCTGCTGGGTCGACTGCATCGTATAACTCTTCCCAGTCCGTGTAAGTGGTGGCTCGTCCATTCCAAATCATGAGATGCGCTGACTTTGGTAGTGTCTGCGCCATCTGGCTTTTCGTAAATATCTGGTTTGCCAACGTCTTGCGCGCAAAGATGCCAGCCCTCCAGTTTCCGGTCATTATGTATAGCATCTTCACCAATGTGTCGTTTACGTACGGCCCTTTATTTCCTACGAGCGCGGCTGGTGAGGATTTCGTTGTAGAGCTTCTACGGGCGTTCCTGGTAGCTTTTGCTATTTCTACTGGAGTTAACCTGTTTGTGATACCCATGAGCTCGAGGCTGGTTGTTTTTAGTGAGTCGCTTCTCATACTCATTTATGTGTCGACGTGGTATGTCCGATGCTAATATTGCACATAGAGGAGCAAGCAGGGTATATACAACTGGTGCGAGGCGTCCTCAAGGCGCAAAGCGCCTATCTGCAAAGCTTAGAAACTAGCGATATGTTCGCAGCCCCTCAATCTAGATCTCATAGCGGTGACGATCATAGCAACGAGAATAAAAGAAAGAAAGGAGGCAAGAAAGACGGATCTCACCCAGCGCAAAATCTTCAAGCCAAAGCTTTGAAAGACTCTCTTGCCGCATTGATTGCACTGCATGGCAGGCTCTACGGTGACATGACGTTCGCAAAACGCGAAGCTGCCTGGGGTAAACTGGACGCTAAGGACCTCGAGGAAATCTTCGCCCTGTTCAGAGACATTTTGATTCCACTGAACGGGATGAGCACTATCACGGACATTTTTGAGCGGATTGCTGAGAGGAGGGGCTGGGTCTCCGTCCCAAATTCAAAGTTCAACGAGTTGGAAGCTTGGGAAAACAATCGTGGGGAGGAAGAGGAGGAAGAGAAGAGGACGTGGAATGAGATTATGAAGACGTTGCACGAGCCATTTGAAGTCGTTACAACTGCCATGGATGAGGGGCTGCATCACGCTGGCTTGGCCCTCGAACTCATCCCTAAACCCAAAGCAAAGCAAGGGGAGGACGCTGAGGCGAAAGGCGAAGAAGTCAAGCCTGGAGATCCACGGTTTGCGGAGCATATGCATAAGAAGATGGCGGACTTTTATGGGAGAAGGGGCGAGACGCTTAGGGCGTGGGCGAGACAGAAGGGACTGGATGAAGAGCAATTGGATGCTGCGCAGTCTCCTGGACCGGACGACGAATCATCGGTATTAGACGACAAGCATAGCCGAGATCAGCAACAGCTGTATCTGATTCTCTACCTCGAGAACCTGCTCCACTCAGCCGGAGTAGCCATTTTGAAATTGGTACAATTCGCCGACAGCAAGGTTGCTGACGGCACAATGAAGAAGAACCGACTCATTAATCCAGGCCAACAGAGGTTGAAGAAGTGGATCCTGAGTATCGGCCGCGAAGATAGCTCGCTTGACTCCAACACGCCGGATTCTATGGAAGCTGGCACAAACACGGTCTACATGGGCGCAGGCTTCAACCCTAAGGGAGATCCGGAGCATTTACCAGCCAAGACCGCATGGCAGAAATTCGGAAATGGTCTTCGCACAATCTCTCACTTTATGGGATCCACGGAATCCGCCTTTGGCTTCCGAGTCGCGTGTGCCACGCTGACTGTTGGCATCATTGCATTTCTGAAGGACTCGCAGGAATTCTTCATCAAGCAACGCCTCGTATGGGCTATGATTATCATCGCTATTGGGATGACGATGACCTCTGGGCAATCAATCTTTGGATTCTTCGCACGAGTCGCCGGCACGGCACTGGCGATGGTGTTCTCAATAGTAATTTGGTATATTGTGAACGAGCAAACCGCGGGCGTCATTGTCTTCCTTTGGCTGTTCATCTTTGTAGAGATGTACTTCTTCCTGAAGTATCCCAGGTTCATACCCATCTGGCTGATGTGTATCGTCACCCAGGTCTTGATCATCGGGTATGAGCTGCAGGTGGAAAAAATTGGAATTGCGGCTTCGGTTGCAACGGGACAGCCTTACTATCCGTAAGTCACCTTTCACACTGTAATATTTGCGCTATTCTAACATCAACTCAGTACCTACCAGCTAGCTCCCTACCGTCTAGCATGTGTGGCAGGCGGCTGCTTTATCGCTTTCGTCTGGACTGTCTTCCCCTATCCTCTCTCTGATAGAAGCTGGCTGCGCAAAGACCTCGGCTCTACACTCTATCTCCTCGCAAACTACTATAGCGTCGTACACTCCACCATTGTTGCTCGAATGCACAACTCGGAAGGAGACATGACGTCAAAGCACTCGCCCGGCAAGCAGCTGGAAAAATTCCGATACAAGATATTCAGCAAACTGCTGCTGCTGATTCCGTCGTTGCAAGAGCATGCTGATTGGCAGAAATGGGAGCCGACCATTGGAGGGAAATTCCCACGCGTACGAAGATTCCCTCTCTCTATACACTTCGATGTGAGCCATGCTGATAAAATAATAACCAACCAACAGAAAACCTACGAAAGCATCATCCAGCGCACCTTAAATCTCATGAATTACATCTCTCTAATGTCCTACACGACCAAATCCTGGACCTCCGACCACGGCTACCTCTACCCTGACGCCGACCCCTCCAAGAGCCGCGAATGGCTCCATGACCTCTCCGTCCTCCTCGACTCCATCGGGCCCACCTCCCACGCCATCACCTCCGTGCTCTCCCTCCTGTCCGCCTCTGTCACGCAAGGCTCGGCCCTCCCGCCCTACATACAGCTGCCCGAGAGCTACAACCTGAGCCGGAGACTGGAGAAGCTGGACAGGGGCATCCTGGGCATCAAGCACGTCGAGGAGCCCGGGTACTCGGCGTACGCAGTGCTGCAGGTGTGCAGCAGCCTCGTGGTGGACGATCTGCGGAGACTGGTCGAGGATGTCAAGGAGCTGGTTGGCGAGACGGATTTCTCGTTCCAGATTAGCTCGTTGGAGACTGGTCTGGGGAGCAGCAGTGCAGGGGGAAGTACGGATGAGGCTGGGAAGGGGAAGGTGGATTGAGTGAGAGGAGGGGCGGGGGTTGGGGGAGGGGTGCGGCAACTAGGTTTTCGGGCCTGAATAATGTACCCGTCGAAAATAGATACACTTTAATCGTCTTGATGCCCCTCCGTTTTGAATGTGCTCTCTTCCCATCATCGGTATTCCAACCCCTCAACCGCTCTGGAACAGTTGGCAAAAAGCCAAGCAAAGCTCGACCTACCCGCATCAACGGACGGCTTTGCTTATAGCCAGCCGATCTGTTGTGGACAGAAGACTAAGCGAGCCTCCTCTCCTCTTCCTCGTCGGCGAAAAGAGAACACACAAACACAAACACAAACCCAAACCCAAACCGCGGCGCCCACTTCTCCCCGCGCCCCGCCTCCCCTCCTAGCGCAAAACCACAGATAATTTTTGGCAGGGGCAAAGATTGAGACCTGAACTACAAAGAAGCCTGTAGCTTTCCAACCAGAGTATTACAGAGTTCTAGGTCTACAGACTTGATTGAGTAGATCCCCCCCCTTTTTTTTCTTTTTTTTTTGTTTGGTTTGGTTTGGTTTGGTTTGGTTTTTGGGTCTGGGATCCCGCGGTTGCTTGGTCGGATTCGATGCCGTCTGGTTTGAAGGTTGTTCGGACGGCTTGTTTACTTGCATGTATTGAAAGACCATCTCGCTTGCCCGTCTGCTGGATGGTGAATTGGATTGGGGATTGGGGTTTGGGGGCATTTGGGTTTGATGAGGAGATGAGGAGATGAGGAGATTAATTTGGCTTTGGCTGGTGAGAATTGGGTGCGTACGCGTGAGGGGGGATGGATGGATGGATGGATGGAGAGGGGTTATTTGATATGGGTGGGTATACTGGAGAGTGATGTTGGTTGTGGGTAGGAGGTTGGGGTTGGGGGTTGGTTTGCAATGCAGGTGTTATTGGTAAGAGATGTGAGAGATATGAGAGACTCTGAGCAAGTAGGAATGAATGAATTGAGTGAATGAGGAGTGAGGGCTGACGAGTTCAGGTGTGGGTAATTGGGTTCTGTTTCCGACGCCGATCCGCGCTGTCTGTCCCGGGATTTAAAGCTCTCGTTTGCTGTTCGTTTTAAGTGGCGTGCATATATGTGTGGTTGTAGTTCAGAGCCACGATTTTTTTCGCATTCCTGCAAGCCGCAACTCCAGTTCCAGTTCGTGCTTTGAAAAAAAAAATTGAAAATTTTTTTTTTTTGAAATACTGATTAATGGCTAGCATGTATACCATTTTAGCATACGGATACTGCGTTACAGATCTATATTACAGTACCGAGACACACAACCCAATATATCTGTACAGAAACCACGCCGTCATCCTCGTTCATCCCTTCAAGCTGGGCTCAATAATTCGAGGCTAAATAAACCTGATTTCCAAATAAGAATGTCTGAAGAGGACTACAACATGGAACCATATGTCAAAGCGTCTTGGCTCAGATATTTCCACGTGTTGTATTCGATGCCGCCGGCACGTGTAGTGTGAGGGAGACCACCCACCCACTTTGACGACGATGTCAACAAAGGTTCTCTCGCTTATGAGAGCCACGTGCTTGCGACGTGCAACAAAACAACCCCCTTTTTCAGTGTCGACAGTCGACAGGAAACGAACTAGACGCTAGCACATGAGAATGGCTTCTTCGCAAATGTATGGATGGAGGGGTGAGAGCACGGTCTAGGTAGCTGTGTGGTGTGGACAAGGCTTCATCGCTTGTACTTCCCTTATTTGGTGGAAATTTCTAAATGCAGAAAATAATGCAGCGAAATCAGCCGCTCCTAAACCCATTTTCACCTTCGATGTAGCGACTCTCCTGGAATTGGTTTATTTCGATCCCGAATATGGACACTCGCCACTCTTTTCCTCGCTCTCGCTTTGTGGGTGGCATTACTTCCTGCTCCTCACGCTGCCTACCCTTCAACAACATCATGAATTGCTATTGTATTAAGCCATTCTAGGATGGAAACAGACTATTTTATCGCTCAGATAAGCCTCCTCTCCATCGCAACCTCAACATCATTTAGTATTTCCATAGGAGTTTCGACGATGATGTCAATAGCATAGCCGAGGAGAGCACTTATGCTTTGACAGAGCCAATATCCCTATCTGAGCAGAGTGGGAGTAGGGGAATGCTCTTGAGGGATTAACATCGCTTGAAGTGATACTCAAGCCCTGGTCGCCCGGTATACAGGCGCTGACTTCCAAAGTATCAATATGCTCGGTATTGAACTCCCAGCGATTATAACAAAACCTGCGATATTTTTGGCCTGGAAAAGTAGACAATTTAAAACCATTATAGCCTGATTAACCAACTAGTAATCAGAGAGAGCCTACAGAGCCCTGCAGTCAGAGCCAACCACCCCGAGCGATACAAGTCTGACGATCTGGAGGATAGCGATGGAGATTTCTTCTATACGCCCCGAAAAAGAAAATAGGTAACGCTTAAACCATAGTGAACCAACCTGGTCCGCAGTTCTGACCGCGATGAAACCATCCTCCCGTCTTCTAGTATTTTTCTGTACAGACGATCACATCCGCGCAGCAAAATCAATGCGTAGAATGGGCAATTTATCCTCCACCAACCCCCAGAGCCCACTTTGGGCGACCGCCTCGGCTAGAAGTAAACAAACATCGCGAGGGAAAAGGAAAAAAAGGGCGAAGCTCCTAGCTCTCACCTCGACTCCAAAAACTCAGAGAAAAGCCTAGGAAATATCCAGAGGATGTGAACAGGTACAGATAGAAGCGGCTACCTGACACCTGTACCGATACACCCCAAGATAACCTCTCATACATACACACACTGTAAGCGTCCAGATTTCTTGTCATTGATCGATCAAATTCACCTCGGAAGCTAAAGATCTAGAACTATATCTGTATCTCCCACAGAGGAAATCAAAAACGCACCTTCCAAATACAGCAGGGACATTCCATGATCGATTTGCTGGGACGGACTGCCCTACAGGAGGAGGAGGAGGAGGAGATCAGATATAGAAAAGCTTCAAGCCACAAGAGAGCTGCGAAAGGAGAGAAGAGAGGGGGAAAATGGGCCCATGAAGAACGGCACATGTCGATGGTCAGTCATGCACAAGGACATGCACAAGCTCAAGCACACCACCACCACCACCGAAGAAAAGGAACGAGAAGAAGAAGAAGAAGAAGAAGAAGAAGAAGAAAAAGAAGAAAACCTCCAAGATTCACGAAACAGCAAATGTCATTGACCTGACTGCCACCCACACACCCACCCTCCTGCATCCTTTCCTGCCAACTAAGGGACACACACACACACACACATATATACACATATACATACACACATCTTTACAATAACTGTCGCTGGCCAACACTGCTCACTGCTGTCAACAACCCACAAACACATACGGTAACCGAAAGGGAATAAATGACTTCACTTCATCTCTCCCGCTTGTCGTCAGCAGCTGCAGGACTCCTTCCTCCCAGTCCAGCGTCCGACAAGGAAAAACTTACCTACCTAGGTATTACAAATATGAGAAATCCCCGCCCATCACTCAAGTTGAGAGTCGGTCGAACATCCCATCCATGTACCATATCCCGTCCTACTCTTTCCAATCTTCTACAGGACCAACCAGAGGGAGGAGAGACCAAGAAGTGATGGCAAGAGCAGGGGAAGGAGGGAAGTGGGGTGTATTGAACACCTACCTTTGGCACAAAGCAACAATCATCCTTTAAAAAAAAAATTGACACCAAAAAAGTTACATATAAGGCTGACGCCACTATTCAACCTTCCATTCATTCATACATCCAGGGATATCAGAGAAGGAGCAGACAGAAAGAGATTGCGCCATCCAATTCCAACAATCAGTATCCAGACCCCTTCCTTCCCCCGTTCGCCATCATATCCAAACATCCATCGTAATGTACAAACTCCATTTACCCCTTTACAAAAGATATACCCATCCCATGCCATCTATTCATTCAACATGAGCTCCACACCTCGTACACGCCATCACCAACCCCTTGCCCGCGACTTTTCTCGCCCGGAAATCCCTCCCGTTGCACTCCCTACAACTCAGGCTCTCCCCCTCGCTCTCATCACCATCCGCCTCCCCCGACTCCTCCTCCTCGGAAGATAGCTTGCTGACGACGCTTCCGCCGCGATCCAGCGCCGGCCGCAGACCTTTGTCTTCTTTTTTCCCGGTTCCACTATTGCTGCTGCGCTGGGGCTGCGGTTTCCAACTCGCGACATTCCAGAACTGGGACGTCTTTTGCGCTGTGTTGAGTTTGGAAGGGTTATCGTCCGTGGCTTGCCGGTTAATGACGAAGCTCGGCGTTGGAGGCTGCATGGGCGATTTTGGCGGTTTGGAAGCCGAGGATGTAGAGGGCGTGCGCTTCTCCTTGCCGTAAATGCTTTGCGGCGGGCTGGTGGTTGAGATACTGGGGGAAGAGCGCGCAATAGGCGAAGGAGCATAGGGCGTTTGGCGCGCTGTGCTGGCAAGGTTGAACTGGGATTGCGCTTTGCGGGTAAATTTGCCAGGTGAAATGCTGCGGTCGGAGTGGGATGTCATGACTCTACTCCGTGTACTAGCACCATCCGAGACTTCATTTCTCCAAGACAGGATCTGATCAGAATGCAAACCTCCAGGAAGCGAGCTGTGCGAGACCGAGGCGCGGTGTGAGCCCCCCGAGGTGCGCGTCATGGTGCTGCCTGAGCGCCTGATGACTCTCTTAGAAAAGGTCGATCCGTTCTCCCAGCTATCGTTGCGACGTTTCTGGTAGGCGCAGTCGCAGCGGAAGACTTTGATGGAGCCGAGGTAGTCGGCCGTGACAATGATGAGGCCATCGTTGTGCGTGCTGCGCGCAAGGTACGCAGGGGTCTTGACGGGCTCGCTGATGGGGTCTGAGTGGCGTTTATCTGCACCAGGAGGGGGAATGCAAGAAGCATTCGATTCTTCGCGGGAGAGAAGGGTTATAGGGGGTGGATTGCAGAGATCGTATATTGGATCCCCAGAAGCACTTAGTAGCTGCCGTGTTGTTGTTGGCGCAATTGCAGTCGCTGTGACCATAGCTGAATGCGCTTCAAAAAACTCCAAGGGCCGTTTGTCTTTGTTGTTGTCCAAGTCAATAGGCCCAGTGTTCCAGATGTAAGACTTTCTATCTTCGCTTCCACAAATCACATATGTCGCATCGTCACTGAAGCTTGCATTGATCTGACTGCAGGTGTTCTCGTGCCCCCTGAATTTCATCTCCAAGGTTTTGTCTTTCAGATTATAGAGTCTCACTCTCGAGTCGTTACTCGTTACGAGGACCTTGACTTCGCCGTCGAGATCGTTCGCGGGGTATGTCGTCGTCCGGATACCAGTGATTTTGGAGCCTTTCGCATTCTTTCCGCGACTTGACCGCACGTGGATCTGACCTTGAGGATTGAGACCAGCCGTTTCATAAAATAGGCACAAGCCACTCAGCACACCGGCAATGGCTGTCTTACCATCCGGGCTAAATGCGACGGCAGTGATCAGGTCGGGTAACTGTTTCCAAAAAGAAACCGATTTATCCGGAATGCTCCAGAGTCGAAGAATAGAGTCGAGGGACCCTGCCAAGAAGAATCTATCATCTCTCGGGTGAAAGGCTATTGAGGTAACTAGTAGGAGGTTAGTCCATATCTAGGCGCATTGCAGTTCAGACACGAAGACGCCACGACCCAAAACGCGAAGAGGTCGACGAACCAAAATCTTTATGTTTAAATGTGCACAGGCACTCCTTTCTCGAGATATGCCATAACCTTACTGTCTTGTCCATCGAGGATGACAACAAGAAGTTGTTCTTGCTCCAACTCAAGTCCAATATATCCCCTGTATGTCCCTCAAACTCTCGGATCGGTGTCGACCTGAATACGGGAGCGCTTAGCCTGGCTGCTCCAGACGTGCTCGAGCTTACATCCTCTTCGTACTCGTGCGCCTGTCTCTCATCCGAATTCGAGATCACAGCCCAGACCCTGACAACCTGGTCCTTACCAGCTGCCGCTAAATATCTCCCACATATGCTGAACTCTGTTGCCCATACTGCTCCACTCGATTTCGCAGACTTGGGAATCTTGTGTACAAGTGTTGACGGAATATCGTAAGTTGTCAAGCCTGGCACCTTCTCGTTGCTTGACGCATGCTGTTTTGTGCCGCTCAACTCTTGGGCCAAAAACATGCGATCGAATTCCCTGTCTTTCTTATTATTCGCTCGAACCTTGATGTATCTCGGTGGCTCCTTATGCTGGGGAATATACCCATTCGCCCCAATAGAAGAGGAGAATACATGCGCATTCATGCCTTCAGTCCGCTGATCGCCTTGCTCTGATTCATCGTCCTCTAAATACTCAGAATCTTTCTTCTTCCCGCCTATCGAGAACCGGCTTAGAAACGACACGCCTTTCCTATGGTCGTATGTCAGCTGTGTTACTATCATAAGCAAGTCACACGATTCACAGTCAGCATCTCGTGTACCACAAAGACACTTACTTTTTATCTTTCCCGGAATTACTGTCGCCTCGATTTATTTCGGTCGTTAGTTGTTTGCCGGGCGGCGGTAGGTCAGGGCTTATTGGGTTCCCGCCAACTTCAGGGAGTGAACTGTCTGGTCCAGCCGCGCCCGAGCTTCGGAGTTTCTGAGGGATTGTATTTTCGGTGTTGGTTCTCTTCAGGATATGCTAGGTAGCGTTAGCATGCTGGATCCAACAGCAAAGGCTGATTCGCGAAGTGCGAGCCGGCATGCCGTACAAAACTCAAGAAAGACATACGTGAGAGAGCGGGTCAATGGCAGTGGTAGGACGACCTTGCTGTGTGGGGTGGATTGGAGGAGGGCTTGCTCCATTACTTCCCTCCCTGCTTGGAGAATTGCGTATCGAGTTGTTGATTGGGGACTTCTTGCCATTGCTCTGGTTGTTTCCTGTTGCGGGGGCTCTCGTCAGCATGAGAAGCACCAGGGCCAGGAGCAAAAGCCATGGCATCTTAATAACATGTCTTCTGGCTTTGGGACAGATCCATATAAGAAGGGAGGTGGAGGGAGAGAGACAATGTCAGGCGACTGAGAAGAAAGGAAGCTGATGTACCTTCTGACGAAGTTGCAGATCTCGGCCTCGCTGAATATCCGCTGTCCGTTATAGTTGAGGGTGAGTCAAGGGATTCGCTCGCCGCTCCATTAGCGGTACCGACAGGATACTGCACGTCGTTCACCTTGATCTTCGGCAGAGGGTCGGGCATGGTTGCCTGAGCTGTTCCATGTGTCCGAGTCTTCTTCAGCAATAGGATGAGATGTCGAGAAGTCCCGCTAGTAGCCAAGCCGCTGCGATGGTTGCGCGTGGGCTGCTGGGCAAATCCGTAGAAGCCGGGTGGTGGGGAAGCAAGCCTTCGAATGCGATCCGGGCTAGAGGGTCAATGCAATCGTCGTACTTGTGAAGAGACGGAAGGGGGTTGTCAGAGGGGAACGGGAAAGATAGCTGTTTTGGTTCGAGGTATTTGAGAGTAAATGTTGCGCGCTGTTTGTCTTTGTCGCATCCGTTGTTTCGTTTCCTTCCACGTCGGCGGAAGGGACGTCGGTGGCATGGTTGTACTACTTCAGCTCGGAGGGCCGCCGGTGTTTGATCCAATTCGCCGGCCCTACTTTAATACCAGACCAAAATAACCCGATTCACGAGTGCGGGATCCCCGAGCTTTACTTTACTTAGTTGTTACTTTTATTATCTGGAATTTTGGCCACTGATCACTTTACAATCAATTCGAGCCGTACTGCTCCGCAGAACAAGGACGACCATGTCCTCCCCAGAAACCCCAACCGCCCCGCACGACCACGTCGCATACATGCAACGCGCCCTCGATCTTGCACGTACATCCCCTCCGAAGCCAACGAACTATCGCGTCGGAGCCCTCATCGTGGACGCGCACACGAATACGGTGCTGGCGACCGGGTACACACTCGAATGCGAGGGCAACACACACGCGGAGCAATCGTGCCTGATCAAACTCGCCGAAGCTCACCAGATCCCCGAACATAGACTTGCGGAGGTTCTCCCCGCCGGCACGGTGTTATATACTACGGTTGAGCCTTGCTTCAAGCGAATGAGCGGGAATCTGCCGTGTGTAGAACGGATACTGCGGTTGAGGAGTGCGATCAAGACGGTGTATGTTGGGGTGAAGGAGCCGGAGAAGTTTGTCGGGGAGAACACGGGGAGGCAACAGCTGGAGGACGCTGGTATTGAGGTTGTGCTCGTGCAGGGTTTGGAGGGAGAGATACTGGAGGTGGCTACGGCTGGGCACATTAATTGAAGAGGGTAGGGCTGCTCAATACTGGGTTGTTCTATTCGATACTGGGTTCTTCAATGGTTCAATATAGGGGAGGGTTATAGGTAAGACTGAGCTCAGTTCAGGGTTAGGATCGAGCTCAGATCAGGGCTAAGATCGATGGAACTTAGCTAAGGCTCGGCTCGAGCTGGATCTTTGATGCCTTGTCTTCGTTCTCCTTGGTCCATGGACCTTTCTTTCCGTCCGCCCGCCCGTCCGCCTGCCGATCATAAAGAAACCCCAGAAACCCACTGCGGAATCCGCCCAGACGAGGCTGTCACCGTTGCGCTTGGACTTGGGAGACGATGGGCCTTGCGGACAAATCAAAAGCCCGAGTCCGGACCAGACGCCTCAAAGGTGCATAATGTCGTCAGACCACTACCGTAAGGCTGAACCTCAACCTTGTGAAAGCATTCCAGACAGGCATTGTACAACAACTCTACAACTCTACAACGTTCATCCCGACAACAGCTACGTTCCCCTTTTGCCACCAGAGTCCTAATTCAAGATGACCATCCTGAACTCCCTTCTCTATGCCACCAACTACAAGAATCCGTTCCTCAGGTTCGTACAAGCAACATCACATTGCTATCGTATCCTCCAGCTTCACCATTAATAATGCTTCTACTAGAACACTCGTCCCCTCTATAGCAACTGCTTTTGCGATCCAAGCCGGAGTAGCTGTCCCATCCATCCTCACTCAATCCGAGCGATTCTATGATCTCTGTAAGACAATCTCAACGCATTGCGCTCTATCTCAGTGCCTTCTTTCTAAAAGCCCCCATTTCCTATGATGTCGCTTTCACCAGAGCCACAACCCATCGCTAACATTCCCGTCAGCCGGTTCCCTCACCTACCTCTCGGTAACAGCCCTCTCCCTCTACCTCCCCACCCTCCGCGCCAGAGCAGCGGCTCCCCTCGGGGCCCTCAAGCCCGCGTTTCCCTCTCTCCTCGCCGCCTTCACGGGCACCGGCGGCCCCAATGGCCTAAATTGGCGACAGGTGGTCCTCTCGACAGCCGTCTCCATCTGGGCGACTCGTCTCGGAAGCTACCTCTTCCAGCGCGTAATTGCTGATGGGCACGACTCTCGCTTCGACGAGATCAAGAAGAGCCCGCCCAAGTTCTTCGGAGCCTGGATGGCGCAAGCCACTTGGGTCTCACTGTGTATCATGCCTATCCTGGCCGTCAATTCCATCCCACATACCCTCCTCTCCACGCTCCCACTGTTGAAAGTAACCGATGTCTTGGGCTTTGGGCTTTTCATTGGGGGATTTGCGTTCGAGGTCGCGGCTGATCGACAGAAGAATGCGTGGGTGCAGGCCAAGAAGAAGAAAGAGCATGAGGAGGAGTTCTTGACGAGCGGGCTTTGGGGGAAAAGTCGGCATCCGAATTACTTTGGAGAGAGCACGCTTTGTATGTCCCCCTCGCTTAATAATTTCTCCCTATTCCTATACCCCCTGCGATTTTCTGCGACTCGTGGATCAAACGGGACTGACAGCCACGCAGGGACAGGTCTAGCCATCGCCTCAGCTGGCGTGCTCACCTCCGCCGTTGGGCTGCGCGGCATGCACCTCTCCGGCACGTCGGGCCGCCTTATCGGTGCCGGCTTGTGCTTCGTATCCCCGGCCTTCGTCACGTTCCTACTGCTGAAGGTCAGCGGTGTCCCGCTCAGCGAGAAGAAGTACGACAAGAAGTACGGAGACCGCAAGGAGTACCGGGAGTGGAAGGAGAACACGCCGATGTTCATCCCAAAGCTATGAGCCAGGGAGCCTGGTGGGAGGGGGGATGAGACAGGATAAAGGTAGGTAGGGGTAGGGGGAGTAAGGCAGCGGTAGCATGTGGAGGACGGGATGATGACTCAGGTCGGTGTAAATATTGTTGCGTTGTTCTCTTTTCCTCCTTATTCTCCCATTAGCTTAAATTTGTCTACCTATCGTCATTGTAAATGAGCATTATCTTCTTGTAGTGATGAACCCAATATCCACTATCACAGGAACGATATCCATTTCATGACCACCACGTAGGGTGTGTAAACATTTTAGGGTAAAGCTGTCTACAGAGTACAGTGAAGAGAAGACCCCACCCCCATATCCATATCTCGTCGACTAGATGTGAAAGCGACAAAGGACATGGAAAATATCAACGGCGGGCGTAGAAAGCAAAAGTGGAAATGTCAACACATGAGTTAGCTACTCGGTTACTTACCATAGCCAAAATCAAAGAAGGGTTGATGTGATGGGAGGTTGGATGGAGGGTGGAAGGTTGGATAGGGTGAAGAGGTTGAAAAGGTTGAAGAGGTTGGTGGGGGGAGAGAGGAGAGAGAGGAGAGAGGTAGGTGGGTTATGGGACGATGAATGAGGATGATGGGAGTTTTTACCATTGATTGTTGTTGAGTATAGAGGTTGGTTTGGTTGTAGATGAAAAAAAATAAAATATATATGTATATATATTTTTCGTCAGTACTTGATCCGGTGGATAGGTAATGGTGGTGGCCGCCACTTCAGTGGTGGGGGGGGGGCCGTGTTGTGTAGAGAGGATGATATTTCTAAGTTCTCTTTGGTAGGAGAAGTCTATGTACTTCCTTTAGCGTGCACGTGCTCTTAACAGGCCTGACAGCCTTAGGCTATCACATGACCCTATCCTACGAGGTTCTCGACCCGAGGACCTTCCTTTTTAACTAAGTGCTTAATGCTTATTACTCTTTTCAAAGAAATTCTAAACTCCGCTAAAGTATCGTTGCTTAACTCTTATAATTCCTTTCTTCACTCGCTTCTTGGTTTCCTTTGCGTTAATGTCGATATTCCTTGATAACTCTTATTAAAATCTCCAAACTCAATCTCCTTTTCATCTCTTCACCTTTCTTAATGTCTTGCTATCGTTTCAATTAACTTTTCTTTTTTCTTCTTTTTCCTCTTAAGCTTTGATAGCAGCGAGTGTTCCGAAGTGCTCGCTTTCAGGTTCTAGTATGTTAGCAGTCTCTTTTCTTCTCTTGTTATTAAGTAAGAAGTCCGTAAGTAAAACGGCTTTAATTGGTCTATGTAAAAATGTCGTAGTATCGCTTTCTTATTGATCTGTTTTAAGGTATATGATCTCTTATGCTTACCTCTTAAGCTTAATACCTTGAATAAGCCTTTTTAAGATGGTCTGAGTTTCTGCTCAACTGCTTTTTAGTCGTACAGCATTACAAGAGATCTTGGTAGTAAGCTCTTGACCTTTTAAAAGAATAGTTCTTTCCTTTTAAAGCTCTCTCGGACGTTTTGCTTAATAACCTCGTGTTCCGCGATGTGTTTTAAAACAGCGTTCCTTTAATCTTTTATTTCTATAAAGTCTGCTCTTTATAGTTCGTCTAAGAACCCTTTGTCTAAGAGTGTCTCGTGGATGATCTTCGCATAATACGCTAGAAAGGCTAAGTTTATTGCTGCTTTAAGGGTGTATCTTCGGTGGATCTTAAATAGTGAGTACTTTAAATAAAAGATCTCTCTCGCGTTCGTTTCGAACATTACCTCTTTAAACTTGTCTTCGAATGCTCTTTTAGTCTTCGCTATCGCTCTTTGCATTATATCGACCGCCTTCTCCGCTATGCTTGTTGACTTCTTCGATGCTAATAAGGAATTAGTCTATAAGACTCTTCTCTTGTTTATAAAATTCCGAACTGTATCGCTAAAATAGCTACCGGGGTCGATATAGAATCCGATTAGCGTTTTATCTTGGTCGAACAGCTTTGTAAGATAGCGTATAACGTTTTCTAAATCGAGTGCGATACAAAGGAACGCTTAAATAAATCTCGAGAAGTAGTTTATGATAATCAAAAGGAACCGAAATGTTTCTAATACTCTTAAGAAAGGTCCGTAAAAGTCTGCTTTAAGAAGTTCTATTAGTCTCAAGACTATTACACTAAATAATAGTTGAGATCTTATAGCGGTGCCGTGCTTCGCGCAATCTAAGCATCTTAAGATATACAAGTACACGTCTTTAATTATAATAAGCTATTATACGTTTCTCAACTTCTTTATAATAATAGTAACAACGAAGTGATCTCTTTAGTTATAAGCCGTCCGAAGCGCTTTCTTAATATCTTTAAGCGTTAGACATGTTCTTTATACTTCCTTTTAACAGTACTACAATATTTCCTCTTCTTACTTATAAAAGCTCGCTCTCGTCTGCAGTCTCTTTTGCTTGACTTTATCCGAGTCTATAAAGAAGATGCCGTAAGCAACTAGGTTGAAGATATTTATGTACTAAAAGCATTATCGGTAAGCTTCTTCTCGAGAAAGAATTATATTTAATGTCTTTAAAAGATAAGTAAGCATAGTGTTAGTTTAAGTAAGCATCGATTGCAAGTGGTTTGACATCGTGATCCTTCTTTTTAACATCGGTTTTAACTTAGCAACGTATCTCGATCCTCTTGCTCGACAAAGAGCTGACATAAACTTGACGTCTCTTTAAGCTCTTCCGGATAGTTATAAAATAGACTTAAGTTCTAGCATGTGTCTTATTACGTTGACTTTCTTTAATTCCAAGTCTCTTAATAGGTTTTCTACTTCTTTTAACAGCTGCTTATACCTTTCTTTCCCGTCTTTCTAGATTTAAACTTTGTCTTTATTTATCTTCGAGATCGTCTCGAACCTTTCGAATTCTAAACCTCGACAATTATCTTTTAAAAAGATCGTTTTAAATAAAGCGTCGACAACTTGGTTTCTATGGCCTTCGATGTATTGTATCGTTATATTAAAGTTCCTTAACTCGCAAGCTTATCTTGCGTAAATCTCTTTTTGTGCTGACTTAAAGTCTAAAAAGTATGTTAATAATTTGTGGTCGGTGAACACTGTGCTTACTTTATCGCATTTCAGCATATAGCTGTATTTGCGGCAGAATTCGACCATCACTAGCAGCTCTCTTTTGTATGTCTTATATTAGCGTTGTGTTTTCGTTAAAATGAAGTTATTAAATAGCAAAAGTGCTTCGTTTCCGTTATCTTGTGTTTAAGTGATACAGCATCTTTTAGCATAAGCACTCGTATCTATATATACTAGCACCGGTTTATTAAGTACATAGCCGAATCGTTTTAAAGCTTTGCTATAAAAGTCTTTTAAGATGTTGAAAGATATGTATTCTGCTTCTTCTTACGTTTAGTCTACCTCGCTTATAAGCCGATTAAAAAAGCAAGTAATCTCTGCGAAATTTTTGACTTAATTTCTAATAATCTAGATCGATCTTAAAAAGCGTCTTATCTCTTAAGCATTGCGAAAGGTAAGCTAATCTTTGATGCTCTATGCTCTCTCTTTCTTTATTATTGCTCTTTCACTTGATTTATATGTTACTTTTAGTATTATAACCTTAGTTATAAACAAGAAATATTTCTTAAAAGTAAGCTTCAATTGCGACTATAGTAAGCGCGGTAGCCAGTGTTGTTCTAGAAAAGTGAATGCTTTCTTAAAGTTCTTTGCTCTTAAGAAAACGTCGTTTATATAGTACTTCAGCTTTAGTAAAAATGCTTCGTTATCGTCGAGTATAAAAAAGAAAAGTAAAAGTTCCGAGTCGTTAAATCTTTCGTCTATTGCTCTTTAAGACTTTAGTATCTCTCCGAGTATAGTCTTTATTAATTCGTTAAATATAAAAGCCGAGCTTTCTCTTTTTTATATCATCCGAGTTGATTGCAATTAAAAGTGACTTAGTGTAGAAAAAGCGTAGATATAGCGGTCGTCGAAGTAGATAGACACCGACTAGTACTCGTATTTAAGATCTATTTAAGAAAACACTTTATATTAAAGATAATTCAAGTACTCGTAGTATTCTTTTAGCTTAACTAATATGCATCTTAAGATCTTCTTTTTCACTTTTAAGTAGTCGAACGTGACTCGGAACTCACCTTTCTCGGGTTTTGATTCTTCCGACTTCTAGATCAAGTTCGAGTGGTTGTTCTAGTCACTCAGCCTCTTATTTGCAAGCATTATGCTCTTAAATATATTATTCCTTACTCCTTCCTTAATCGTCTTGTATAGCTATGCTAGTTTTATAAGTAAGTATCGTTTCGGAACGTTGTCTGCTATTAAGGTAGCTCTTTTAAAAACCTTGTGTCGATGAGTGATAAGGTCTATATAAAAGAAATCATCGAGTCTTGCGCTATTCACTCTTCGGTATGTGTACATTAAAACTTAAACATCCTTTAACTTGTTTAATAAGATTCTATCTCTAAAAGTGAGTCCGCATTTTATTGCCTACTCTTTTAGTACAAAAGATCTTAAGTCTTCACGTAATAGTCTAATAACTCTCTTTTTTATCGAGAAGCTCTTTGTTATTAAGTAGACTTCACATAGTCTCGATTAGATCTTTAGTATGTTCTTCTTCGTAGTCTTAATGAGTCTTAAGGCTTTGGTTTTTAAAAGTAGTGTTTGCAAGTCTCTCTTATCGATCTGTATAAGAGTGAATTCCTTAAGTAGTGTCTGGTAGCATTGTATTAAGACTAAGGTTGAGGTTCTTTGTATTATAAGACTGTCGTTGCATTGTTCAAGCTAAGAGGGTTGCTTAATAAGAGTTCTCTTAGTTCGAAAGTGAACTTTCTTTCGTTAAATGAGTTTTACGCTATCGCTAAGGCGGCTTAAATGACTTAGTTTTCCGAATCTTCCGAGTCGTTTGAGTTGTTTAAGTCTGATTTATGTTCCGTGTCTATCGTAAAAAGATCTGACTCTAATGGTTCGAACTTCACTATTAAGTTATCGAAAGACTTTTTAGATTCTTCTTTAAGCTATAAGATTAAGTT